AATACAAAAGGTCTAGGGGAAAGAGAAAAAAGGGAAAACGTAACAAAAAGCAGATTCACAAAAATAAAGTAAGTACTCAATCAGCCAGTTACTCAATCAGTCGAACAGTAAAACAACCAATCAATCAATCAATCAATCAATCAATCAATCAATCAATCTGTTTGTTTCATCTAGTAGACTATCTTATCGGATTTTCCCGACATCTTGTGCAACAATTCAAATTGGGTTATCGCGTTGTTGTTATCGGGGTTTGCTTGTGGTAACGGATCGAGAATACGGTGAATGCAATTTTCATTATCTGAGTAAATAATCCAGAGGTAAAACTCTTTTTGATTTGTGGTACTTTTCTTAATCGATATAATAGAGTGGTCGATCGATACGTGTGTTATATGCGCACGCACAGTTCAGCCACGTCCAAAGCGACTGCTGCGCTGTCCGTGATTCAGATCGACTGTCCATAATTAGGGCCATAACCTTGTCCAGGACAGAAACCAGTCGAAAAATACTCCGAACCCGAGGTGAATTGTTCGAACTTGGAGTGAAAAATTGACATTTAATATTAAAAAAATGTGGATTCAATGTAAAAAAAATTGATAAAGTGATAAAATAAGACCCCAGAGTTAAGGTTTAATATCTATTTGGAACAGCAAACTAAAAAACCTAGAATTTCGCAAACATGCATGTGTTGTGTGGGTTTAGAGAAAAGTTCCGTACGTCTTCCAGCAGTGACTGATGAGCAGTACATTGCGTATTGCATCAGGCGGTGACATATATATATAGCAAGCATAATACTGACATCTGATTGGCTGTTTACGGTTTAGTTTATAACGATAACAGAAGCGAGCAAAAGGGAGCAAGCGCGTGTGACGAGGCTACATCGTCTCTGGAAATATATTGCGAATTGAAGCATTACGTATTCTCGTTGCTATGTAATTTGAGTCTGGTCTAGAAATCTCTTGGAGGTAGCTTGCATGAGGAATGGCCATTCCAGGTTGGGTTCGAACATCTAAGGATTCGGCGGAAACGGCTCTCAACAAGGCGAAAACGAAAGTATAATTTCATATCTTGAAATAATCCCATTGTTGTAGACAGAATACAAATTGTCGGGGAACAACTGATTTTTGGTAACTGTAATGATATAAGAATTAAATCGGCGACAATCTTTTCACCTGCTGTCTGCATCCTGACTGTGTAACTATTTTGCGGCTTTTCCATAGTGACCAACACGTGGTCTCTGCATGAGGTGAGCAACAAGATAAGCTACAGAAAAAAACAAGTTTAAAACATGTTATTTCTTGTGCATGGGCTTTCTAGATTCAAGTGGATCTATTGAAATTAGACATGTCTTGAGTCGTATACAAGTATCTACAGACAGTGACAATATGACAGCATTGTGTAACATCAAAGCGGCGTGTATCTGACTGGACAATTTGAACCATTATGCCAGTTGTTCTGACCAGGATCACATTGTGTACCGTTTCGGGTGCTAACTGAAAACACGTCTGTGGTGTTGATCGCTCTTTCATACGTTTTGGACAATTTGCAGAAGCTATGTTCTGGGAAACTGTATACACAGTAACTCATCATCCACTGATCGTACACTTTTCCTAGCTTTGGGTGTAATTGTTTCACAGATCTATTGAAATGCATGATTTTATTGGAGAAGCGATCAAGCATTGACCACACTGTAACCGAACCCCCTTCGTCAAGGCATTCATTTTTGCGCATGATATCGAGAAGATAGAACTGAACATGATTGAAACATGAATATAAGTTGTCATCTCCCAGTAGGATTTCGAACAGTTCCTGTTCAGTTTAGTTCATTTTTTACGCCTTTTACGCTTGTCACCAGGTAGGTTGCCACGGCAAGCGATGTTTACCGAGGCAGGCAATGGGTGTAAAAAAGCGAAGGGTGGTCAATCTAAGACCTGGCACTAGGATATGAGGATCCCAACCAGAAGACCCCGTCCTATAGGTCGCTTTAGGCTCTATGGATGGGTACCTCGGGATGATCGTAACCGGTGTTTAGAGACACTGACTGATATGGCTAAATGTCCTGCATCTAAATTTCCTTGCAGCCTTAGTTTATTGAAATTCTCTTCGACTCTACGTCAACTTTCCTGTCTTCCTCCAACTACTTCATTCAAATAGGTAGCCAAAAGACAGGGACCAAAACCGGCACACGGCAGTGCATGATTAATGGTTGTACGAACTGAAACTAAACTGAACATGAATGCCACACTCGATTCTTTAGAATCGATTGTTTCAGTCACTTGCATTGCATTGCATGGCATCCCTTACCCGAATCGTTTCAGAAGTATCTCTGTTCGCTGTCGCTGTTGTTGTTGTTGTTGTTGTCGTTCTTACCGGCACTAAGGGAGTCATCTACATGCCAATGTTCTAGTGTATCTTCCATAACAGCGGTGTCGCGTCTGACAGAGAGACCATGAAAGAAGGAAAAACTAATGTGCCATGTCGTCTGCATACTCCAGATCAGACAGTCTGCCACCTGGGAGTGAACGTTCAAAATTGTGCAATCTCTGGTAACGCACCGAAGCGGGGATGGGAGAAAAGTATGTGAATTAATGATTCCGCCGGGCAAACATACACAATAATTAATGTAACTTTTATAAGTGCTACTGACTGAAATGCTACACACTTCGGTAACCAAATATGATTACGCACAACGCGAATGAGAAACTCCTAGACCTGCATCGTAATCGTGAATAAACCGTTTCCTCCCCCACTCCCCTCATAATATGTAGTTAATGAATAATTTATCTAAGTAGTATCTGAATGACTGTTGTCAAGTCGTAGTTTATTTGGAGCGAATCCTAGTGAAGGTGCGCATCAGCTCCTTGTGGTTAAGACTTGATTGGGGTTGACTATAATACGACTGGAGTGGATAATATTCGCTTGGTAACGACTGAGACTGCATTATGTCAAGCAATCAATAAGTGTCAGTATTCTTCATAAGAACACAAACGGAAGTAATGGTAGGAGGTATTCTTGATGAAGCCTATAGACGATTCTCCAGTGAACACTAATCAACGATAGATATTAAGGTGAAAATATCTCACTGGCTAATACAGCCCAAGGTCATGAACCAAATGGGACAACTGAAAACTGGATAAAATCCATGAGATTGATCGATATAAATATAGTCTGCCTATAAGGTAGTAAGTAACAAACGAAAATACTCCACACCGTCAACCTCCTTTTTGAGATGATTAATTCGTCCTGTCAATAAGGCGTGAGTTGAAGAGCCGGGAGGCACTCCAATCATCATCTAATCAAACCAAATCCTCCTTTCCTTTCATATAACAAGTAGTAAGGTTGTGAAAGTTTCCAACCAAGTCATAATCCTGGAGGTTAGTGCTGAGATGAACGAGGTTCGTGGCCGAAAAAAAACTGGCAAAGATGGGTTGTGCTATATCGTGGATATTCAAAATGAGAAACGGCCTGATCAGCTGGCCGTCGGTGGCCCAGTGGGTAACCTGTTTGCGTTCTGCCTGTGGGGTCCCGGGGTTCGATTCTCAGTTGGGTCGATGAATTGCACATTGCTGATGAAACCTAACCAGGTCGAAGCAACTGTTCAGTGCTTCCCAGCCTTTAAGCTGACGCCTCATTTACAAGACGTATTAATTACCTAATGGAATCAAATCTTCCATTCCATTCATATAACCAACGTATTTTTTCACTCCGATTTTTTACAGGCTAATGGAAACAGGTTCAGCGTGGCAGTGCAGAAAAATAGACTAAACGGAACTATTCAAGTTTCTAGTCCGATAAGAACATCACGTCCAGTCAAACTAGCTTGTGGAAAATGGATTGATTACACAGTCAAATGACCCCCCGTAGACTTGAAACAGGTTTTCCGTATTGATATCTAATGTTCATTAGGAGAGAAAAGTCTGCAGATTAAGAGATGGGAAGCTACGAGGTGACGTACGTCGAAAAAATAAAAAGTCATTCACAGAGGTAGAAAGATAAATGAGAATGAAGTTGACTCAGTAATCGCAACGAATCTAATATCTAACATCATTTGTTTTCATGTGAACACAGCCTAGTTTGAATGCCGTTTGTTCTTCTTTGAGCGCTGATGAAACCATTAATTACTGCTGTTTAAATGATCTCATTTGATGTTACCAGACAGCCTTATTGTTTCCGAATAGAATTTTTA